GGCAGAATACAATGGTACTATTACTTCCCTTGACGCTATACAGTTGTACCTCAGGTTAAGTACTTAATTCGTTCTGGAGGTCCGTTCTTAACCTGAAACTGTTCTTAACCTGAAGCACCACTTTAGCTAATGGGGCCTCCTGCTGCCTCCGTACTGCCGGAGCACGATTTCTGTTCTCATCCTGAAGCAAAGTTCTTAACCTGAAGCACTATTTCTGGGTTAGCGGAGTCTGTAACCTGAAGCGTATGTAACCTGAAGCGTATGTAACCTGAGGTACCACTGTACTTAGATATTTTTTTAGGGGGAGGGGTTGGATTCAGTTCACATTTAAGCTGGATCTATCAAATTCATACTTTCTGAAGCAAGATGAGAACCAAATAAATCCAAATTTTGCAGTGCAGTAATGAATGTATTAGTGAAATTATCATACAAAGTGTATTTGTATCCTAGGACAGTTTGCTAGCAACAATGTGTACCGTATATTAGTCAAAACAGCAGGCAAAAATGTGTTTAAGAAAAATTCACGCTAAAATACTGAATAATTTGTATGAGGATTAAAAAATAATTATTCACAAGTTGCTGCAGAAATATGGAGAACTGAATTTGAGGCTGGCAAAATGAAAAACAGAGCTGAAATGAACGTGGCCTTGCATCCTTAGTGATGACTGGGGAGCTCTTAGTATGGGTTTCTTTTTCTCAGGAATTCAGGTGAGTGGAGAGGTGGTGGCAGACACAAGCTGGGATATAGCCAGCGGGCCGTGTCCTTAAGGCAGTTCGGACATATTCACATCCTCTACATTAGATGTAAGAAAAGCCTGCCTCAGTTGGCAGGTCTTTGTGCACATGGGTGGAAGGTGAGAGAAACGTGAGCAGGGAGGTGAGATGGCAGACTGTGAAAAGTTTTCTGGATTAGTGAAGTTCTGAGCAACAGCTCAAAAGTTCTTAAAGTTCTTCTGCCCCCTTAAAGCTTCTGGAAACAATTGCTGGCAAAACTATACGGTGTGCATGCATTGTAAATTATGAAGTGAAAATTTGTCAAGACTTTAATGTTTGTAGAGGGAGCCACCTAATGGATACATCCTATGCAACCCCATGCGTATCTACACATATATGTATTACAAAGCCCCCCTGCAACCCTACACATCCAGTAACCCCCACACTAGCAACCCCACTCTGTAAGCAACAAACAGGCACCAATCAACTCTACAAATTACTTACACCTTATGTACTCAGGCAACAGAGCTATGTGATGCAGGTAACACAGGTGAATGTACATGGTCAGATCCTTGGTCTATCTAGCCAAGTACTGTACTGCTTATGTTCTCTGGCATCAGCTATCAAAGGTTTTAGGAAGAAATCTTTCTCGGTTCTGCCATCAGAGAACCACCTAAACTGGAGATGGTGATGAGTATTATGATGATCTGTTTTTCACCAGCAGGTTCCAGCCAGAGTGGGTTACAATGAGTTTAAAAAAGGGATTGAATAGAAGAACTTGCACATGCAATGCATCTGTTCCAGCTTTGCCTTCAAATATTTGGCTATCTGTTGTCTAGCTGGTGCACATATTTGACTGGTCACCCCCCCCCCACCAAGAGAACTCCTTACCTGCTCATGGAGAAGGCAACCGTGTACTTGTTTTAATGTGGGTCTTCCATGATTAGTTTTCGATCAGCTGCCCTAGATTTTAAAATATGCAAAGCAAATATTGCTTCAAGTTTACTTAGGATGAGTTTAAAAATGCCCTGACTCAAGATTCTCTGATGCTATTGTTTTTAATTTTAAAATATTTAGTATTTGTCATTTCTGTCTCTTTTTGGCATTAACACCAAATCCTGATGGCTTTCAAACCAATGGGAGATTTTGTAATTGTTTTACAGTGATTACGCCTTGCCAATGCATTAATATATTATATTCAAAACCATATTTTAATGTGAATTATATATGTTCACAAACATTAGCCAGATACTATTGCCTGTTTAGCTCTCCTGTGAGAATCAATACCTAAACTCTTGTCCTACAAAACAAAGGATATGAGATTACTTGCACAGCATGGAAGAATAACTTAAGATGAAGGAAACACTACAGACTGAAACTATTATTTTTCATAACATAGCACATGTATTGTTGCCAAAAAAAATTGCTCAATGAATATCACAGATTTGTTGGAAGGAGCAGAAATATATACACAGCTGTGCAAATGACCCTGATACCTGCATTGACTATAACGTCAATATTTGTAATATAATATTTATATTATGATTACATGTCTCTAAGGATAAAGTTACTTTATGGCAGAGCTCTTACACCAGATATGTTTATACAAATTTACATCAATTAATCAAAGAGACCGGGAATATGTAATCAAATCAAATCCTACTTAAAGCAAAATTGTTAAGGAGAGAAATTCTCTCAGCTCCCAACAAAACCCCACAGTAGTTTGCTAACTGCTATCACTGCTCACCCTGTTTCAAAATTATCCAAGATGGGAATTTTGAAGATGAATACTGCAGACATAACTAAAGCCATACTCCAGCACAAGAGTTAAGTATATTTAAGTCAATTGATTTTAATGGACTTAAGCATACTTAATTCTACCATTTGATTACAGTATATTTTATGAGACTTACTGCACAAGCATTTAATCTCATCGCATGAGGCTATTATGGTCACATTTATGGAGATCCAAATTTTCCTTAGTTACATATACTGTGAGAGGAGACATTGCAGAGAGCAACTGGGTTTAATTTGCACCTGTAAAGTGAGATATTGAACTTCATTAACATTTTGAGGTAGAAACAATGCTTGGAAAACACATCTCCAAGTGTTAAGAAAATAAAGGTGGAACACCCGCAAGTCAACCTTTCTTAAAGCTAATTTAAAAGGTGTGGCCATGATTAAAATACGTACATTCCTAGGAAGAAGCTTATAGCACAAGCAAGAGAGATCTAACCATAAACAGTGCTGAATGATCCCAGCAGTTACCATGGGGATATATTTTTATTTTTTAATTTTTTGGTCATTTGTTAAGTCACTGGGATGACTTGCAGATGGTTTCGATAGAAAATCCACTGGTTATGACAAAGTTTGCCCAATTATACGTTCATGTTCATAATTCCTTTTTTTTTAAAAAAAAGTTTGACACAGTTCAAGCTCTCCATAAGATTGCAATGTACAGCATGTACAGGATTCTGATTGCTGTTGCATTGCATCAAGGATCTTGTGGTTTTAAAGTTCAGTTGCCTGTTTGGAATGATGCTGCACTGCATCACAGCTTTTCTGCCCCTAAAGCTGCATCAGCAATGAATCATTATCACATTTGTTTATTTGGCTGTGATATAAGAAGAGTTATTATGAGATTACATAATGTGGTCTAACATAATAGGATAAAAATACCCTTTAGCCAATATGAATATGTGAGAGTACCAGTCTGGTCTACTGCATGGAGTTAGCATGTTGTCCTAGCCTTCACCATGGCCAGCCATCCAGCAGTCCATCAGTCTACAGAAAACACATAAAGGTAAAGGTAAAGGGACCCCTGACCATTAGGTCCAGTCGTGACTGACTCTGGGGTTGCGGCGCTCATCTTGCTTTATTGGCCGAGGGAGCCAACGTATAGCTTCCGGGTCATATGGCCACCATGACTAAGCTGCTTCTGGTGAACCAGAGCAGCGCACGGAAACACTGTTTACCTTCCTGGTGGAGCAGTACCTATTTATCTACTTGCACTTTGACGTGCTTTCAAACTGCTAGGTTGGCAGGAGCAGGGACCAAACAATAGGAGCTCACCCCGTTGCGGGGATTCGAACCGCCGACCTTCTGATCGGCAAGTCCTAGGCTCTGTGGTTTAACCCACAGCACCACCCGCGTCCCTCTCAAGATCCCGTTACACACACACACATATAAAATGACCGTCAATCAATAAACATAGCTGTCAATTTTCCCTTTTTTTGCGGGAAATTCCCTTATTCCAGCGCCGTTTCCCACTGCTTCCCTCTGCTATCCCGGATTGTTAGATATCCTGTAGACTGTCCCCGGACAAGCTGAGGCTGCTGATCCCTTGTTTTCAAATCTGAAAGTTGACAGCTATGTCAATAAAAATAAATTGGGCCTCAAGTGTTAAAATAATCATCACTCCTGTTTTCTCCAATGAAATGAGATATTCCACTTCCAAGTCCAATAACTTAGTTCCCCAGAATGCTGTCCTGGCAGGAGCCACACCACAATTTTCAAATCACAATTTGGGCGCCACAGCATTGAACCCTTCTCTCCGACTCACCACCCTCCCTCCCTGGGATGTTGCCTGGTGGATGACCATGAGGAGGACAGCTCCCCATTTTAATAATCCCACCTGCCCGCCCGGCAACTCTCCGAGAGTTGCGAATGGACATCCATGGAAAACGCTCTCATTTTACAAGCCTCCTTCTCCGCTGCCGCAAAGACAGCAGCAAAACTCAGGAATTTTCTTTTTCTTATAATTCAGCTCTTCTTTCGTGGAAACAGTAGTGGGGAGCTTTTTTTTCGGGGGGGGGGTATATTTTAACATGCATAAACGGAACATATCCATACTAGACTACATTACAAGGCTGTTGTAAAACATGTGTCATTCACCGCCCCTCGCCCCACTCTCGCAAGGCATCAGCACGAACATTTAAAAAGGGGTTTAAAACTGAAGATCATTTTTTTCAACACGAAATAAGACACGAAGGGGAGGGAACTGCATTTTCCACTGGTTTTCTTCTTCTTCTGAGCGCTGCTGCTTTATGACAGCTACCCTAAAACCCTGGAATTCTCCGCGTATTTCCTTTTATGGGCAGCTCTCACTGCTCTCCCCAGGATGGAACCTATGTTTAAAAATGAACCCGGAAGTTAGGTTAATGAATTTTCTTAGCTCTATTATTCTAGGATTACCGTATATCTCTTGAGGACGAGAACCATAGAGATAGATTCTAGAGCGGATTAAAACATGCCATTTAAGGGCAGCGCCTCCACGCGCCTGTGCTTGAAATGTGAAACGCTTCCTTCCGGAAGGGGTACGCATGCGTAGTGGATCGAAACGGGACACAAGTGGCGAGGAAACATGGCGGAACCTGAGTGAGTTTTCGAGGGGGGAAGAAGTAGATCGGGGGAGAATCCATGTCCATCCTCGGGGAGGGCTTGGGCGTCTGCTTTGTTTGTTGGATGGAGGCATAGTCAGAGGCCTGTAAGAACAATAGATAGGGGTCACAGTGCTTTGTACTGGATCAGCGGAGGGAGATAGTACGATATGGAAAACAACCGCTTCTAGGAGTCTGTGTGTATGTTTACTAGAACGAATTAAGTCCTTGAATAGGACCCATTTGTGCAACGCGTTATGTATATGAATGTGTGAAAATCGCTTTCCATTAGATCTGTTTTTGTGTTCTGTCTGATCCGTTCAAACTCGTGTGTTTTAGACCACCAAAGAAGATTCCCCGGGTGCCAGAAAATCTACTGAAAAAAAGAAAGGCATATCAAGCAATCAAAGCCACCCAAGCAAAGCAGGCGCTGTTGGACAAAAGAAAGGTAGGGGAGGCATATTGTAGGTCAGGACATTGTACGCTCCCCTGATCAGCTCAGGCAGGAATTCCCTTGATCAGGCCAGCTGTAATAAATGTTAGAGAAATGATGCATGTAATGTAAAATCAGGTTTCAGTTAAAATCCTTGGGAAAAGAGAAGTGGTAGAAATCAAGGGTGTATATCTTTTTGCTTTAGAAGGATGTAGTCTTGCTTACTTGGATTTGTAGGAAACATTATTACCCTTTTCACCTCTCCAGTATTGTAAGAATAGGTACTCCCTCACAACGTATTCTTAGAATGACTTTTTCTGTCCTTTCTTTATCAAACCTTTTTCTTGAAGTTCCTCTGTATGACTCTGTAACCAAGACTTGCTTGAACTCTTTTGTGACTGAATCAAACTAGGATGCTATCTCTGATATAAAGTTCCAAATTCTATCACATCCCATCTACTTTTCCATGGTAACTTGCCTGCCCCAATTGTAGATTAAGTTCCTTAAACTGAAATCCAGCCCTTTTTCTAAAAGGAAAAAGAAATAACCACATAAGTATTTCAGTTCAGATAGCAGAAATAAGGTTAGGTTAAATTAAGATAATCTGTTGCTATACCGTTTCCAACAAATTTGGGGTTAAACATCGCCCTGTAACTTATTGTATTGATACAATTGAAAATGCTCAGTTTTCCAATAAATTATTTGACCTTTATATTATCAGTCACTCAGGTGTGCTTGCTCCCATATTCTTATGCTGTCATCCAGGAAGGGAGTAAGTGTTTTTTCCAGTTATAACAGTAGGCCACATGTTAGCCAGGTATATTATGTGTTTTGCGGCTGCTAATAAAACACATTATGAATAAATGTATTGGAAGTTCATATCCTGTTATTACTTCATTACATTTATAACAGTTTCCCTGTATTTTAGGGCATAACCCCAAAGATACAAAACTGTGATACTCTTCATTGCTGTACAACAGCTGGCATGTCATTGTACTGAACATTTTGTACTGAAAAAACATGCTGAGCATGTTGACCATTATGTACTAAACTGAGTAGCATGCAAATAGTGACTTAAAGGCATGTCTTTTAAAATTTAATTTCCTTATTGTAGCATCAGAAAGGAAAACAAATCAGATTCAAACGTCTTGAGACATTTTTGCGGGATTCTCATCGGAAACACAGAGATGATGTCCGTTTGAGGCGCATGGAACATAAGCCCCGGCTGCTGCTAATGCCTGAGGGACACAAACTGGCTTTTGCAGTAAGGATTGCAGAGTAAGCATCTGTTTGTCATATTTAACTTAGTTTTCCAGCAATCTTCTGGTTTCCACTGCTTTGCTCATTCTAGTTTTCCGATTTGTGCAGATTATGTGGATTGTTTTTTTAAAAAAATAAGTTACCGTCCATGGACATGTTTGCAGAAGAGTGAATTGGTGGTATTGATGAATTATGACAGAACAAAAAACCTTCTTGAACTGAACACTGAATAAAAGCAATAACAGCAAACCTTGGCTTCCTGCTTTTGGTTTGTTTGAGTGAAGCAAACCATGAGCATTGGTTTGGACATTGTGCTAAGCCCAAGGGTAGGGGATTTGATCCAACGATGTGACGGGTTACTGATGTCCCCCCTCCCACACCCATAGTGCACTTCAAAATGTAGGCAGGGGCACCCATCAGACGTCATTATGACACCAGGTGAAGCTTTTTTCCTTTATAGAAGGGCTTGATTTCAATGGACCTTTGGACAACAAAGCACTTCTTGCTTCGACAATTGGGGCCTGCACTTACTGCTGTCAAATCCGGTTTGCAGAGAAACAGGCCCCCTATTGTCCCTTTACAGTTATGATTTTACCCACTCCACAACTGATGGGAAAGGAGTAGCTCTGGCTAGAGAAAAACAGCCTTGTGGGCCAAATATGACCTGTGGGCTGGAGGTTCCCTATGCCTCCGCTAAGCCCAGGGCTCATAGTTTGTTGCTTCCTGCTGAAGGGAGAAATGAAACATCGGGCTGTAGCTTTAGGACACAACTTTCAAGAAAATGTAAAAAGGTGATTGTTGATGCATATCTATATTTGTTTCTGCTTACTATGGAGCTTTCTGTCCAAGGGGAGAATTTGGCTGATTTCTTCTACTTTGGTTTAGAATTAAAGGTGTGAGCCTACGCGTGCGGCATGTCATACATAGGCTACGGTTGAGAAAGATTTACAGTGGCACGTTTGTTAAATTGTCACCAACATCTCTGAAAATGCTGCGTACTGTGGAGCCTTATGTGGCATGGGGGTTAGTACAACTTTTATTTTTGTGTGTGGGAGGGATGGTTAAAGGCAATGAAATGAATATAAAAGGCACCATAACTTCGAAAAAGTTAAGTAGATTTCTTTTTTGCATGCTAATACTGGCATGTCAGGAAAGATGAACTGGCAAGTACAAAACTCTCAATCTATTTTTCTGTGACCTTTTTGAGGATGGGGATGGGATCTCTCTCTCTCTCTCTCTCTCTCTCTCTCTCTCTCTCTCTGTGTGTGTGTGTGTATGTGTGTTTTACTGCTGCCTTTGGAAATGGTACAATCATCCAGGGCCTATTAGCCTGACTTTAAATGTAGCTATATATACATTTAATATATTTAGTGTGGGTCTTTTTATCTGTTGACATCAATAGACGTTTTGTATGAAGGTGGGTTAACAGCATAATATACATTTGTGCAGGGGGTTAATTATGCAACACAGGTTGGGCTCAGATCAGGCGGCATTTGCAGTCTGCTTCAAAGAAGATTTTGTGCATTTGTCTTCTGAAAACAATTTAGGCATGAATCTGCTGCAATAATCCACTTCGTAACTGAACTATAAAATAGGCTGTTAATACAACAAAACTTTGATTATAAAAATACATGCCACAATGCATTCTGTCTTGGAGCAGTAGTTTGCACAAATCTTGACTAGTTCTATACCTTGAGTCCCATTGAGAAGAGGTATGTTCTAAGGATGGCGGGAGTATTAAAAACAAGTAGGAAACTGTTACATACTGTGCTTTAAAATGACTAGTGTTGTGGCCATTCTATAGGACCTAAATAGCAGTTACTTACCAAATAAGTTGCCATTTTGGAAGGATCTTGTAGTTTTTGAAAAATTCTCCAGCAGCATCACCACTAATTTTGTTTACACAGTTATCCGAACCTGAAATCTATTCGAGAGTTGATCCTGAAACGAGGCCATGCAAAGGTCAATAAGAAAAAGCTTGCTTTGACAGACAACATTCTGATAGAGGAGCATTTGGGTAAGAGATTTTATGTAGGGGAGGACACTAAGCTTTGGGGCAGCATGTGCTTTATTGTGATCTAGGAAAAGGGTAGTGAAATGACCAAAGAAATTGGATGCTACTGTGTTTCTAAAATCATTTCTCCCTCTTAGGAAACTCTGGTATTATTTGTTTGGAAGATCTTATTCATGAAATTTACTCAGCTGGGAAACATTTTCATGAAGTCAACAACTTCTTGTGGCCATTCCACCTGTCAGTAGCTCGCCACGCCGCCCGCAATAAAGCGGGGTTCCACAAAGAGATTGGCGATACTGGATTTCGAGGTAGTGGAATCAACAAACTCATTCGTCATTTGAACTAGGCTCAGGTGGGTGCTCTAACACCGGCTTTTATGGATTTCAATCACTGCTTAGTTATATGTTAAAAATGGTCTTGGAGTTCCTTATGAAGAATGGCCATAGTTCGAAAAAGTGGACCGCATCTGCTGTTGGATTGTGAAATTATAGGAAGATAAGGAAGCCAAAACCATCAAGTTTCAATCTCTGAGTATAAAACCAGAAGATGGGAGTGATCTGAAGTTTGACCCCTCATCATCTTAAATTTGCAAGATTGGGTAGCAGAAATGGAAAATACTTTTTCTTGGACCTCCTGTAGAGTAGGTGGTAGAGATGGATGAGCTGATGGTCAGGGCCAGAATGAGACAAGTTCATGTGACTTCATATTCAGCTGTCCTCATGTTTGGCAGCTTCTGGTAGATTCCAGTAAGTTGTATGCAAAAAACAGAGCAGGACTAAAAGTTTACTCTGCAGTGGATCATACTTTATAAAAATCCACATGGTTTGTGTATATTATGTCATATGCTTCAGAGAAAGGTGGAGAAAATTCCTGTCAGTAGTAATAGTAATAGTTTAGGTTCTTACATACTATGAAAACATAACTAACTGGCAATTCATAAACCCAATTCATTTAAAGAGCAGTTAATTCCAAGCACCATCTTAAGTTCTCAGTGTTTTGAGGTGTTTTTTTTTAAAACTGTTCAGGATTCCATCTCCAGTTACACTGCATGTTTGTCTGCTAGACAGTAATGAGTTTAACTCTCAACAGCAACTTCCTTGTATACTTTTTTTCCAGCTTAGTCATAAAAATAACATTTGCTCTTAATATTTTTCCAACAGCTTTCTTCAGTAGGCACTAAACATAATTATAGTGATTTCTTTTTACTTTTTCTAACAGGTTATGAACACTATTAAGGATGTTCTGGAAGATATTTATTTGTACTCCATGATGTACATTGGCTCTTCAGAGACTCCCGAGTCTGCAACATGACATTACTTCTGTTCCTTTCTCTCTGTGTGATGGTGAAACTACACTTCCATAGTTGAGTTGAAAGAGATCCAGGATGTGATTTAAATGTTATCCTGCGCATAGAATAGAATGGAAAAAGAATGGAAGAACTCCTAAAATTCCACTTGCACAGCCCTCTTAAATTAATATATTGCTTACAAAGACAGCGGGGATGTTTTGAAACCCAGCACTGCTTTTTGCATGGAGTTTCATTTTGAATACAAAAGTGGGAAAACTTGGCATTTTTAAGATGCACACCTGGAGTAGGAAACCTAATACGATCTAAACCTGGTGATCATCTTCTGCAGGAATATCCTGAACATGTCAGGATCCTCTTCCCAGATTGCTTGAATTGGCTGGCAAGTAGTTGATGCCTTAAATTCTCCTGTCAAACCCTTTGGTCAGCCCATGTCTAAAATAGCCACTTTGAACGTAGTTCTCGAACTTCTTTTGTATGTAAAGTCTCGAATAAAAAGATTTATTAAATTTTTGCTTTGTGGGGCTTGCTTATATACCGGACAAATGCAAGAACTATTAGCTTTTGAAGCTTAAAAGCTATTGACTGAAAAGATGAGCAGTTGTTCCTGTTGGAAGTATTTGGAGCTGGCTTCTGAGAGAATTCCCCCCTCTTCCCATTGATGGGCACATTTTCTTCAGGGTATTAAGGGTTACAGCAAAAGGTGAGCCATGTCCACGCCAGTTCATACACTTCTCACCATGACAACTATCTCCCCTTGTGCACCCTCCTGGCATAAATAAACTTGGAAAAAAGACAATTTTTTCATTAGCCATTAGTAGAGCTGCAGAGGGAAACATTAAGCTAGAGACAATTTGTCAGGATGGCAGTACAGTCGTACCTTGGTTGTCGAATGCCTTGTGAGGTGAACGTTTTGGCTTCTGAATGCCGCAAACCTGGGAGTGTTCCGGTTTGCAAACATTCTTTGGAATGTGAATGTCTGTTGCTGCTTCTGATTGAGTGCAGGAAGCTCTTGCAGCCAATCGGAAGCCACGCCTTCGTTTTCGAAAGTTGAACGGATTCAGTTCGAGAACCAAGGTATTGCTGTGTATATATAGATGCCAATATTCTAGTGAAAACGCTCCACAGCAATTAAAATCAGTAGGAAAAACTTCTAATGGTGCCAATCCTAGGTGTCTTAAGCCTAACAGCTATGTGCAGGGCTGTGAGCCAGATCAAGCTGATATTTCCAGTCCCTAAGGTCTTGTAATATTTTGCTAACTTTAGCCACAACCACAACAAAGACAAAATTAAGTAGTTTATTGGCAGTAGACTCACATTTAAGTAAATATAGGCAGTTATACAGGACACTTATGATACAAAGACCAGTTAAAGTTTTACTTTATTTTTTTATCCTACAAAATACAATTAAAAACATTCAGTCCACACTCCTGTAATAACCAGAATGAGGAAATTCAGTCGCATATCAAAGAACAGGATTTCAGTATTCATTCTTAGAAATACATCCACAGTATATTCAAGCTATGTACAAAGTATGTTTTCCCTGTTAGTTTTACTGGAATGCAAAGGATCTATGCAGAATGTAATTACTATTTGCTAAAGAAGTTAAGAGGAAGCTTATGTACAGTCTTATTTGCACAGTCAGGGGAAGCTGTCCTTTTTGTAGGCCACCATACTGTTGACTTTGTGTATTGTAGTTGTGAAGGAACGAAGACGAACTTCTTCAGAGTTAGCAATGAACTGTGGACCAGACTCTTCCCATTTTTCCGGAACAGCTAAGTCTTTGTCTGTGAAAATCAGCAAGTCAAATGCACCTGCAAGGAAAAACCCAGTGTTACTGGATTTATATTGCGTGCCTATATTCTAAATTCATTTTTTAGGGTAGAATAAAATTGTGTGCTTGTATTTAAAATTCAAGCACATTCATACTTTTAATGCTGCAACAATACATTAATTGAACTAAATTAGGACTGGATCATTCATTCATATCAATCACTTGATGGCTAACTAAAATAGGATTATCAGAACTGCAGTTTACTGAACGAGTGTTCACCAGATTTAGGGTCGTCGTCATACTACTAGTTTTAATGCCTCCAAACAATTTTACTGATGCAGCCCACTACACTTACAGCCTTCCTTCCCATGAAAGACCCCATCTATGTTATGTCAACTTAAATGTGAATCACTTTCATTGAACTTTTGACAGCATTTTCAGCAAACAGCAGCAGCGCCGGTGTCAGAAGTCTGCTTGTTTGAATTGCTGTGAAGTGTGAGTAAGCAGGCAGGAGGGTGATAAACCTCTTCCCTTCCACCCTATAAATGTTCCTGCTATCCCACCCTATTTTCTTTCCAACAGGTGTTACACCTGATCTCAGAGCACCACTGAGAAAAGGCTGGGGAGAGCATGGGCAGGGAAAGGATACAGCACCATCCAGTTTGAAGACACTGTTTTGGAGCTGTTCAGCCCACTCAGATTTTATAAAATAATATGGCATCATCTGAAAATGAACTCATTGTTCACCTTATTCCAGATAAATTGTTTACATTCCTTAAACGTTTGGCAATGTACTTTACAGAAATTAGGTTGTACTCATTTCCTTGCTCTGCAGCCTATACTACGAATAAGCCCCCAAATAGATTTGCTGCATTCTGTCAAGAGCATCAAGTGACAAGATACTTACATGTTGTTTCTAGTAAAGGAAGGAAAGTTACTGTGGCTGTTATCTGTCTGATAACAGATTTTATTTCATCCTGTATAGCTTTCTGAGATTTCTCTCTCGGTGCACTAAAATAACAATCAAAAGCTGTCATTAAACAAGTCTGACATCATAAATTAACAGAGCTATTAGTATTTTACATAGTAAATATCCACTGGTCCAAATTATATGCCATGTTTGGTGTGGTTGCTTTGCAAGTTTCCATTGCCTATGCCAGGGAGGAAGAACCACTGGCTTGCAGGCCAAGTTAGGCCTGACAGGCCCTAAATCTACTCCACATCTGATGTAATATGCAACATCAGAGGTGGGACAGGAACAATTAGCAGCCTTACAGTTACACTTCTGGCAAGCCCACTTCAGGCAGGTATGTGCTAGGCTATAGAATTTTGGACTCTTTACTCCAAGTGCAGCCAATACCTGACTATAAATTGTGGCTTGGTGAATTCAGAGCAGTGATGAAAGGGAAAAGCTTACTTTGGGTCACTTGATGTCATGCAATTGACAAGACATGCCCATCTGTCAGAGTGGTCCATGGGGGTGGGGTAGGGTCTGGTCAGGAGCTGGGCTGCCCATCAAATCTTTTTCCCCACTCCTGGCCTACATCTATAGCATTTTACTTGTGTGCATTTGCTGCTGACACCCCAGGCCTTAGAATGGACTAGCTGAGCACTTTGCAAGCACAACCCTTTTGCAAGCCGTGTCTCCCCCTTTGGAAGTCCCCATTTTGAAGGAGGCAACTACGTATCTCTATATCCACAAGCATATTCATATCATCCATCTCTACAAGACAATTATGTTGTCACCACAATTTGCAATATGCTTTTTTGTACCTGGGGTGAGAGAAGAGCACAATTGAATACAAAGCTGAATAAATGCCTACATTTTGCATTGTTTGAAACAATGATGTTTAAATGCACTTACATTTCATCCTTTGCAGCTTTGTCACATTCAATGTCAAACTGCCACCTTTCCAGAACTTCACTGGTTTCTTTACTGGAGATCACCACTACTAGCCGCTGAACTAAGCATTCATAGAGCCATTCTGGGAAAAAAGCAAGACAAAAAATTGCTTCCCAGAAGTCCCAGTGTTACACAACCTTAAAACATTTTAAACCACCTGAAATAAACACTACTACTGCCTTTCTGCAAACTATTAACCATACAGGCAACCTGCAGTTGATAGGATACACATGGTACACTTGATGTAGGAAGCCTGATGTGCAAAAATTATGCCAGAATGTCAACTAAATAGAAATTTCAAACATTCCTATACAGTCAATCCTCAGCTCCCAAACGCCAAAAACCCCGAAGTAACTGCTCCGGTTTTCTCCATTGACTTTGCCCTTTGATCCTCGGTTGTCAAATGTTTCGGAAGTCGAAAGGTCTTCTGGAACGGATTACGTTCGACAACTGAGGTTTGACTGGACATAAATGAGGTGACTTAATTTTATACATGAGGAATGGCCAACTTCTGTATTCTTGGTAGTGGATCTGTTTTTCTAAATTGCTTGGGAGTCCACAGTATGTTTTGCCACACAAACTGATCTTATTATATGGCTTCAGGCTTTACCAGTTGCTCCCATCTAGCAGTAGTGATTTCAGAGTTCTGGAACATATATGCAAGGTATATACAAATTACAAAGGTAATACAAATGTATTACCAACACCCATTATTGAGGTTGCTGCTAACTGCTCCCATCATGAAAAAGGACTCTAAGAATAAAGGAGTGTTTACCTTTGTACTGTCTTCTGGAGACTGCAGAAACAGCACTTCACTGATGCAAAAGCCCAATAAAGATGAGTTTATCTACCTTTCCATTTCTTTAAAAAGGAAGTGTCTGCTCAGCTTCAACTGATTCTCCAATTATGTCCCTTCCTAAAGAACACAAATCTGGCCAATTGCTGCATCCAGGTTAGATTATTGAAAGGAGCTGCCCTTATAAGAGCATTTAGAAACTACAATCAGTGCAGAATTTGTTGGCCAGAATGCTTTCTGGTGCTCACTATTCAGATCATGTTACCAGTCTTATTCCATCAGCACTGCTTCCAGTTTGTTTCTAGGTCTAATTCAAGGTGCTGGCTATTACCTATAAAGTCCTGGTTTGAGGGCAGGGTATCTGCAGGGCCTCCTGCTCCCATATGAACCAGGACCTCAGTTGTAGTAATCAGTCACCCTGGGTTCCTTTGGAAGGAATATAAATTTAATAAATAAACCACCAGAAGGCCTGTTCTGAGCTCCACAACCAAGGAGGGAATATTTGGCCGTAAAAGCTAACACAGGTTTTTTCACTGGCAGGACCCCAGTTGTGGAACCCTCTCCTACGTAAGTCTAACTGAACCTATATTTGATGGTTTTTAGGCAGGCAGACAATACATTTTTCTTCTGTTATGATTTTAAAGGTTAGTAATCCTGCTTTTCTGATGTCTGCCCTTTAAGTGATTGAATAGAAAAGAAACAAGAGGTGGCATAAGATTTTGCTGAGAGCACATAGGCACTGTCATCCAAAGAAAGATCTTGTATTCATCTACTTTGTGCAATTTTGACAACAATATTTTCTTTAAGGGAAACTGCTGAAAGTTTTAAAACTACGTTTTGGCCAATTTGTTGAGCTACTAGGGTTGTTTTAAATTATTGTAAGTCTGAGGACAGGGACTGTGTTGTTTTCTTAATCTCTATGCAGTAATAAGAAAACTGTCAGGAAATAATAAAAAATACCTTTTAGCTGTCCCACCACATTGTTCAGATAATTTTTAAGTTCAGAGTCTGCAGTTACAAGCATAGTAAGTCCATATTTCTGAACACGTGTAAATGTTTCAGCAGGATAGATCCCACGCTGGTATAAGATACTGTTGATACCATATGCTAGAAGGGAAAAAATATTCAAGTGTTAACAATACAAGGACCATCACCTTACTTTTAAATTCCTTCAGTTGCTTCCAGCAGAAAGCATAGCATGTGCCTGTTTTTATAAGTGGCAATCTTCTCTGCAGGGCAGAGATAATGGCTCAAGGGGCAGAGTTCATGCCAGGTGCCAAAGCTATTGGCCGACAAAATTGGAATTAGCAGTCTATTATTTCATTCTGGCTACAAACCAGTAACACACATAGCATGCTTATTTTAAAGAGTCACCCTTTTTTCGACATACAGTTTAAAAGTTTAAAATGAAAGCAGATAAGGACTCTAATAATTGCACATGTGCTTTTATTTTGGTCAGGGCAACTTCTAATTTAATACTACAGTGGGTAGGTTAAAGCTACACTTGCCAAAAATCTTACATTGTTACCTTTAAAACGTAACTTCACATTGTTTATTTTTTAATGAAAGCAATAATCTTTAGACCTAAGTTTGTGTCGAAGGTTATTTGTACACCTCCAACTTTATGTTTGCTATCTGTATCATAATTTTTCCTAACACCTAGAACTGAAATTGCACAGCTCATAGAATACTTGATTAAATGATATCAGGTGGACTTATGCAAAATGCGAAACAGGTAATGCTGCTCTCTCACAATACTTCAATTAGATGAAGTAATAGGGCAAGCGTTTGTAAATCAATGTCTACAAGGGCTTATGGCTGAGGAATACTAACTTGAAGGGAAGCTTAAGCCAAACCACAAATGCTCATAACTGGCCCAAGAGTGGACAAATTGGAATAAGCATGCTTATTTTAAAGAGTTACCCTTTTTCCGATATAAAGTTTAAAATGAAAGCAGATAAGGACTCTAAGGAGAACAGGCAGTGCAATCCAGTGCTTTGTCCACAAAGCTGGGAAAACTCACCAGCGCGGTGCTACAGACATGTGTGTGACTATCAACATCTAAAACAACAAAGTCTTGTGGTACCTTATATTTATTACAGCTATAAGCTTCTGTGAACTACACAACCAAGGAGGTTGACGGCGCAATACTACAGGTGCCTGCTCAGAAGCACGTTCTTTTCAAGGGCGCTTACTCCCGGGCAACCGAGTGCAGGAATGCAGCGTGGAGCTCCTTACCTTGGAAAGCTACTCCACGCATAGCCATTAAGGTTTTTTTCTCTCTTTTATATTGCGATGCAAACTTTTGCTGGCACGCTGTGGGGCGCTATACCCTCAGCGACAGGATGTTTGCGTAAAGCAAATAAATCAACGTGGGGGAAAGTAAAGGAAAGGAGAAGAAAGGATGGCTGGCCTATGCTGCGTCCCGCTCCTTCCCCTCCAGCTCGGGGCGCCATCATTCCCTCGTAGCAGCATCTCCTCCTCCCGATCCTAAGCGGGCGTCCCTACTCGGAAGTAAAGCCCCTTGGATTCAGCGGGGCTTACTCCAGAGTAAGCGGCTCCCCTAGGAGCAGCCCGCTCAACCGAGTCCTTCCTCTCTCCTTTCCCGGCTAACTCACAGAAAAACTCGGCGACGATCTCGGCGCTGCCCCGCAAGGTGATGCCCTGCTCCCGGCTCTGCTGCTTCGCCATTCGAAGAGGACGAGGCGACGGGGGTTGAGCTCGGACTCCGGGCGATCTTCCCGCCACCTGATTCAAAATCCAGTTCCGCCTCCTTCGCGTCGCGCGAGAGTACAAGGCGACAGAGGGCGCACCGCCGTTGCGCGTGCGCAGCAGGAAAGGGGGTGGGGCCAACAGCAAGGCAAGCGTCGTTATCCCCGACGCCCGTGTGCCGTAAAGCGTTCTGGTGCCTCTAGCCTATGGAAACGCGCTTGCGTGAAATCTTTGCGCGTTTCCGCCCCCACGTCCCTTCATGGTGGTTGATTAGGGAGCTCCGTGGGTTTTTGTTAATAACGGGGAGAAGCGGGGATCCATTCTTGTTTCTCATAAGGAGAGGTTTTTATTCTTTGGGGTGTATTTTTTTTTTCTCTAGGGAAGGAGTTGGTGCAAACTAAAACCTTACTTGAAACATGCAGGCGTTTCAGCTTTAAAAGTTAGAGCGCTGGAGCACGTGGCAAAAAAAGAAAATACTGTACGCTGAGGCTTATTAGCAAATAAAATTAATGTAAACTTCTGTGCAGTGTGATTGCCACTTCCCCTTTTTAGATTTCAATTAAATTCCCTTAATATCTTTTATGATTTTTTAAAAAACCTACTTTTTGAACTAGGCATTGTTCTAGGAGTGAGGTTGGTCTCAATCCTGCATCTTCTGTGCAAATCTTCATCCTTGCTTTTGCTGCTGGAGATGTGTATTTTAGGAGCCCACTTTATTTTTCTGTGTTAAATCATTTGCAACATGGGGTCTTCTTTTGTCGTTGGATCCCACCTGGGACCTTATCGTTAAGGGTGGGTAACTAATAAACATAAAGGTCAGCTTTTTATTATTATTAACAATTATATTATTTGCCACTTTTTATTTAGGGGTTGTAAGGCTGCTGAAGTATTTTGGGGCTTCATGATATCTTTTGGGGGGAAATGCTGTACCTACAGGGGTACACGAAAGGGTTTCGAAAGGATATATGGCAGAATTTAGGCTGGATAACCTTCCAATTAACCTTCCAAGAAGAGGTACACCATTAAGTCTAAACTTTCAAAAGGAGTATATGGTTATTTTAAGTTTGGGAAACACTGCATTAGCAACAACAACAAGAAATTTGTACCACACCCATCTGACTGGGTTGCCATAGTAAGGCAGGTATTCAGCCACAGCCCCTAAAATCTCAGGAATTAAAAATGCCCCAGGAATACTTAGTGGATTGATTAAAAATATAAAATGAAAACAGGCGATACTTCTCTATATGTTCAAAATGCAGTAACATAGAATAAAAAGGAAACTAGGCTTGAGAGCCTCATGTGGAGTAGCAGAATGTTTATTTAAAATATTTTTTTAAAGCTCTTCAATGGGTTCCAGAGTTGTGTTTAATAGATTTCTAGATAAAAATATTAGAGTATTTGTAGTCCACCAAGGGGTTTTACATTCTTCAAGTAAGAGGGCATATTGGGTGCATTTGGAAGGCATAACTAATACTCTGGGAAGAGAGTTCTTGCCATTTAACAACAATAATGCAAGAATTGTGATCTATCCTTTTCACACCCCAGTAAACAAATGGTAATAGCCTTTTATATCAAGGTTGTTTGGTGCCATAGTTTATTTTCTTCGGGACTTAAGTGTATATCTAATAACAGGATATGATGATGTGGGCTTTAATCAACAAAAAGTCCACCTTTGATAAAAGAAATCGAGTCTGTAAGGTACTATGAGGCTCATTGTTTGCTGCAAGGGTATCTAACATGGCTGCCCATTGACAGTTTGGGCAGTGGTCTTGAAATATATTGAAGAAAATAAACTTTTAATGGTCATGGGCATTTAGACCACACTAATCAATATAGATGGGATGCGGGTGGCACTGTCGATCAGAAGGTCGGCGGTTCGAATCCCTGCGACGGGGTGAGCTCCCGTTGCTCGGTCCCTGCTCCTGCCAACCTAGCAGTTCGAAAGCACATCAAAGTGCAAGTAGATAAATAGGTACCGCTACGGTGGGAAGGTAAACGGTGTTTCCATGCGGTGCTCTGGTTTGCCAGAAGCGGCTTAGTCATGATGGCCACATGACCCGGAAGCTGTACGCTGGCCCCCTTGGCCAATAAAGCGAGATGAGCGCCGCAACCCCAGAGTCGGTCACGACTGGACCTAATGGTCAGGGGTCCCTTTACCCTTTACCTTTAATCGATATAGAAATCACAAGGAGTCTGTTTGTTTTCTGCTTTATCTCAATGGTCCTGGTGGAAGATTGAGAACATACTGTGAAGTGGGGGAAATTCTGTATTTTTCCTGAAGGATTTTTTCCTCTACATAGTGAATAGAAAGAATAGTAACTGCAGAATTAGCTGAATTAGTATTACAGTTAAGTCATTAATATTATTACAGTTAAGTCATTAATCAAACACAGTCACAAAGTGATTTATCCAAAAATATTTGCCATTTGAATTAGTATGATCTTTTGGTAGCTTCCCCTTTGAATTACCCACAAGATGGCAGTGCTTACCTAGAAGTTCTTGTCTACCATGTTCCCTCAATATTATGAGATGCTTTTCTGTAATTTCTGAGCTGTTTCTAGTTACATATTGTTCCTACATTATTATATCCAAATACCATTTCATAGAGAAATAACACTAGTAGTGTTGCTTATTAGACTTGGATTCTTGAAGCAAGTCAACACAGTCTTTGCTGACTTCACTGCACTGCCACAAGATCGATTAAGTGATGAGCCCTCACCCGTGTTTGATGGTATTTGAATGGATTTTCATCTGCTTGTATTCAAGCTATCTCCCAGCTTGTTTCTTTGCCTAAAGGTCAGGAGTATACCAAGGAGCCTAACGGGCTCCATAAAGTGGGAGATGGTGCTCAACAACCTGAGCCATTTGGATGTCCCAGAGGTCAGCCACATCTTAGACAGGAGCACCAGTTATATCAGCCAGAAAATCCCCCAGAACTGTTTGGAAACCCATTGGATCCATCCACCTCTGAGGGTAACCACCCTAATAGTGCTTTTTTGTAAGAAAAAAAGGTATCATTACCATGAAGTTCTTGTAGTAAGTGTCACATTTTAAACATATCCTGCAATGTACCGTATTTTTCGCTCTATAACACGCACCCGACCATAACACGCACATAGTTTTTAGAGGAGGAAAATCTGTAGGCATGCCACCCGTAGGCATTTCCTCCATAACACGCACAGACATTTCCCCTTACTTTCTAGGAGGAAAAAAGTGAGTGTTATGGTGCAAAAAATACGGTACTTCGTCTTTAGATAGCTTCCTGCTTTTTGTATCAACTGCAGAATGTCGTTCATGTAGTGACCATGATTCCACATATTGGGTAGGGTTGAACTGAGTAAGGGAGGGTCCTACCATCCTGATGAACATCCATGAATAAATTGTCCTTATAAGCAGAGACGATGAAAGTTAGTATAAGATTTACCTGAGAGAATCCTCTTTCATATTCACTCAAAGAAATTTGCTTTACTCAGTTTGTCCTTGATTTAGACACAGACTTTCTGCAATATTATTATTATTATTATTATTATTATTATTATTATTATTGGTTAAAGAGGAACATTTTTGCCTGGCTCCTAAAAGTGTATAATGAAGGCTTCAGTCAAACCTCCCTGGGGGTGAGCATTCCACAAACGGGGAGCCACTGCAGAAATGGCCTGTTTCATGCTGCCACCCTCCGGACCTGTTGTGGAAGGAGGCACACAAAGAATGAAGTGTACAAACTGTTTTGCTGCTTTCTCATTAATGTATGTCTTACCTAGTCTTAAACATTTTTTCCTGGAGTGTACGTATAAAAAAGGCAAGAAAGAGCCAACAAGATGTATTAAATTAAGCAAGGCATGAAGAAAGTGGATGGAGATTTTTTTACCAGTTGCGGGAAACCTCAGGAGGGGAGATCACTCTTCTGCTTGGTTCTGCCTGCACGTTTTCTACAAGTGTCTGAGAGCAGGATGGGTGTTGGGTTAGATGGCCCATTGGCCTGATCCAGTAGATGCTTCTTATATCCATGCCCAGACTACATCCCCATGCACACAGGCCAGATGTACTGTCCCACCACACTGCTCCTTGTTCTGGCTTGTTACAAGGCAGCTGCCTATCTTAAAGATGATGGGCTTGGGACTTTCACTTCCTTTCAAACTTCATTATTGCAGAAACAAAGTTGATGAGAAAAATACAGAGATTTTATTCTGAATAATAATAAGATTGAGATGAGCCAGATGTATTGAAGCAAAATAGGGTTGTGCCAATCACTGAGCAGTCCCACTTCCCCCCGATCATTCTAAATACCCTTGTGATGAGAAGTTCTCAATCTGGACAAGGTTTATAACAAGGGAAAGAAACACAATGCTCTCAAGCTCACTTCCCTCCATTAGGGAAAATAGGGTTCTTCAGCCAAAATCTAGTAAGATCATTTAAATAATATTAAATAATTTAGTAAAAAGGAGAAAAATTGCTCTTGGGAATGGGAAGATTGAAGCTCTATAAATCAAAGAGGAATGTCTGGCAAAGGTCAGCATCTTATTAGCAAGGGGTGGGGGAATGAACATAAACGCATGAGAAGAGTACAAGCATCATGACAAAACCAACTCAGATACCTATGCCAATGAAAGTTAGTATTCCAGATAAAAAGCAATTGGAAACTAGATGTGACAAACATGACCTAACAAGGTGCAACTGCAGGAAAGAAATGGCTTTTCTACTGAACTTTATCAGGAAGTATGTACACAATAAGAGCAAACACACATGATGGGGAAGGCCTTGTGGAATAGAGAGAGAGGCATTGGAGCCCCTTATTTTATGAGGCAGTCTTAAAGTTAGTGGTCTCTGTATCTTATACTGACTTTTACACGTGCAATCTAGAATTTATCAAGAGGCCCATCTCACTACAGGGAATGGGGGAACCAAAAATGCTTCCACTCCAGATCCTTTCCCCAGTTCTCAGGCTTGAGTAAACTTCTTCAGGACGCTTTCAGCCAATGTGGATACAGTGGTACCTCGGATTACATACGCTTCAGGTTACATACGCTTCAGGTTACATACTCCGCTAACCCAGAAATACTGCTTCAGGTTAAGAACTTTGCTTCAGGATGAGAACAGAAATCGTGCTCTGGCGGCGCGGCAGTAGCAGGAGGCCCCATTAGCTAAAGTGGTGCTTTAGGTTAAGAACAGTTTCAGGTTAAGTACGGACCTCCGGAACGAATTAAGTACATAACCCAAGGTACCACTGTACTTCCTTTTCATTCTTTCAGCATACTGTATTTTTTGCTCCATAAGATAAACTACTGGTATATCAGAATAATATTTCAACCATGTAAAGTGGAACAGCACTCAACAGTGGCATTGAGAACAATCACCACTGTCATTAACAAATGAAGAGAGACTTTAAGGTTCGAGTACTCTTCTGGTCTTCGGTGAACCCCAAGAACTCATCATTGCTAGAGTCAGAATTTATGAAGCTCAGTTGCTCACAATCACTGACATTACTTTCTTCGCTATCTTCATATAAGATACCATCTTCGTTTCCATCCAAAGCATTGCTAATGCCACATTTTTTTTAATGACTGGACAATGATTTCCTCCTCCGAGTGCCATGATGTTTTCACCCATTCACAAACTTGAGTGATAGTGGGCCTCTTCATTTGTCCAGTAGGTGTCAGATCATGATTACCAGCAGCCATCCATTTGTTCCATTCTTCTCGCATAAAGAACTTAAATGGCTTGTTGATGGAAATGTCGAGAGGTTGAAACTGGTTGGTAAGACCTCCAGGAATTACAGCTAGGTGAGTCTTCACTTCTTTAAAGCACTTTTTTGTAGTTTCGCTAATATGTGCTCTAAAGTGGTCAAGTACTAATAAGGCAGTTTTTTTCAGAAGCCCTCCAGGACGTTTGGACCACACTTTTTCAAGCCATACTCTCATTCCATTTTCATCCATCCATCCTTTCACTGAACATGTACAACAATTCCTCTTGGAATCACTTCTTTTGGAAATGTTTTCCTTTTAAAAATTAACATGGGTGGCAATTTGGTGCCGTCTGCACAGCAAGACAACACAGCTGTGTAATGGGTTTTCTCATGTCCAGAGATTTTCATGGTGATAGTTTTGGCACCTTTCGGATCAACAGTCCTATTAGATGGAATATCAAAGGATAGCATGTAGCAAACGGTCAGGCTAGTCAAATGACCACACAGCAACAGAAAAATAAAGCAAGAAAGTTTTAATTGTTTGACAGCAGCAAGGAATGGCACGGAGGAATAAGTTCCGAAGTCCGGCCCTCCCCAACAGGGGAGGCTTCCCTTTATACATTCTTGAATCAGGTCTTTAGCCAATCAAATTACATATACTCTGATAGATACAATAGGTTCTGCCTAGAGACAGGGCATGAGGAGTAGGACATTACCGTTCCATGTCCTTGTTTGGTAATCCTTATCAGCCTGTCTCTGGGTAGTGGGTGTCTGAGTGTATTTACTGGATATGGGGGCCTGGCCTAGATCAACAAAATGGCTTCCTTGCTTAACATTTTAACTCTCAAAATGGCTTCACTGAGCACGTTGCTACAATGCCATTCCCTGTCAATTTCCCAGAATACATAATTGAATAGGGCTATTACTTTATTTATTGAATTTGTTAATTGCTTTTTTGCCACAGAAACCTGCGACTTAAAATTATTTTAAGCAGATAAACCCTCTTCACCCAAAGCTTGAAGACTAGGATTCCACCCAGATGAATTTTAACAGGGAGAAATGTAAAGTATTGCACTTGGGCAAAAAAAATGAGAGGCACAAATACAAGATGGGTGACACCTGGCTTGAGAGCAGTACATGTGAAAAGGATCTAGGAGTCTTGGTTGACCACAAACTTGACATGAGCCAACAGTGTGACGCGGCAGCTAAAAAGCCAATGCAATTCTGGGCTGCATCAATAGGAGTATAGCATCTAGATCACGGGAAGTAATAGTGCCACTGTATTCTGCTCTGGTCAGACCTCACCTGGAGTACTGCGTCCAGTTCTGGGCACCACAGTTCAAGAAGGACACTGACAAACTGGAACGGTTTGCCCTCCAGAGGAGGGCAACCAAAATGGTCAAAGGCCTGGAAACGATGCCTTATGAGGAACGGCTAAGAGAGCTGGGCATGTTTAGCCTGGAGAAGAGGAGGTTAAGGGGTGATATGATAGCCATGTTCAAATATATAAAAGGATGTCACATAGAGGAGGGAGAAAGGTTGTTTTCTGCTGCTCCAGAGAAGCGGACACGGAGCAATGGATCCAAACTACAAGAAAGAAGATTCCACCTAAACATTAGGAAGAACTTCCTGACAGTAAGAGCTGTTCGACAGTGGAATTTGCTGCCAAGGAGTGTGGTGGAGTCTCCTTCTTTGGAGGTCTTTAAGCAGAGGCTTGACAACCATATGTCAGGAGTGCTCTGATGGTGTTTCCTGCTTGGCAGGGGGTTGGACTCGATGGCCCTTGTGGTCTCTTCCAACTCTATGATTCTAGGATTCTATTCTATGATTCTTAACGGCCAAAAGTTGTGATATTTTGCTATAGGGAAGGCAAAACCTCTAGACTGGCCAATTTGTCTACAAGCAAATACCTTCCTGGCTCCAAATACAACAAGCATAGCAAGATCAGGAGGCACAAAGAAAAACTGGTTAGACAGAATAAAACCTGTCTTCCTCTACTCTGGAAGGTTCAAGCTGGGGAGGTGGTCTCCACCATTCCTCCTCTGTCCAGTCCTTGACAATACTAGTCTGTTATTCCTTGGATGCAGCATGTCAGGTGAAACAACCAATCACTTTCTCATGATAATTTCCACCATGTCTAACATCTTGGGTAGTTATAATGAAGCACGTAAAAGTAAAGTGGTACCCACTTAAGAGTGAAACGAGGATCAGACAGACACAGCTTGTAGAGAAAAAGGTGAGGTTTTATTGCTGAGCAATAAGGACCCAGTTGGAATCTTTTCCAAAAGGACTGGGACCCAGAGAGATACAGGTCCTGAGGTTATATACCTGAGCAAATCACAGATCATGAGACAATCATGAAACAGTCACGAACGCCAGCGAAAAATAGCCAATTAGCGTGCTTCTTGCCATGCTCCTGATCTTACGCAGAGTTTTACTCCTAACTTCTGCTTTCCATTGTGTGTACAATGATGCACAATGATGTACAGCCTGACCTTTTCCCTACTTCTGACAGAACAGGGAAATAAGGCTTAGGGAGGGAATCTCCTGGTGCTACCTCCCCCTTACGCATCTGCTCTGTAGGGATTTTTGTGGTTAGGCCCTTCCTGTTTTGTGGACCATTTTAGCCTGTAGTTGAGGGGGATATTTGTACCAGCGCCTTGTGATTCATGGCTTCCCCTTTCCTATAGGGTACAGGATGTTACTAGGTGAAAGGTTGGTTCTGGACTTGCGGTTCCAAGCAGTTTGCAGTTAGCTAAGGCAAAAAGCTTTCTTGATTCAAAATGGATTATAAAAATACTGTAAGCCCTGATTATGTGTGAGCATATGTGAATATATTGATTACTGATAACTGATTATATGAATAGCATAAGGGTGGCCCCCCTTTCCTTGCTTTAATGGTACTCGTCAAAGAGCTTTTTTATTCTTCAAAAGGATTGCTATTTTAAAAAATAAGTTTTTATTAAAGATTTTATCAGGTTACGAAAGTGCATATATGTTGACAGGTTGCTTATGCTGTTCATTGTGTCATCCAAACATACAATGTCTTCTGCATGCATGTCAGTCTCACTGCATGGTTATTCTTGTGACCATCCATTACATTACTCCTGCTACTGAAACATCTGCAATTTTGTCTATTCAATGCATAAACCATGCAATCCTGGTCCTGAAACCATGCACTAGTGGAGGCCAAAAAAAGTGCATATTTTGTGTAATACACCTACTCTAATTATGCTGATATATTTGAATTTGTCCGGGTGCTCCCATGATATCTTCAGACTTTGGGCTCCCACCAGCTTGCAGAATCCCCTTGCTAGCTGGTTCTCAACTTATATACCTGATTGTTGTGAGGGTAAGTTGAAGAGGGAGAGAACCCTTAACTCCTTGGGAGGAATGCTAAAGGCTAACACAAATGAGTACATAGCAGAAAATTAGTAGGCGAGCCCTTACCCCCAACTGAGGTGGCAAATCCTCTATACATAATCTCACTGAATATTATTGTTAATTGCAATGGGATACACTTCTGAGTAAACATGCATAGGATTGGGCACAGATAGGGAAGCTTCAAAAGCAGTGAAGTTGTGGGAAGAGGGCGAAGGAAAAATAACAAAAGAAGCAAAACCCAGTAATCTCTGGGGACACCAGCGGCATAGCTAGCTGCTAGGGAGCAAGGCAAGCCACCTGTGGGGCAGGGCGCACTACTGAGCATAGCACAGCAGCTTGAGCAGCAGGGCCAGCCCCATGCTGCTTTTTCTGGCTATACAGTACTTGCAGGTGTCCAAGCTAGTGCATCACTCCCAGGGGAGACACCATGGCTCAGATGTGCTACAGGGCCAGCACGTCCCAGTTGCGTCCTTCTTAGCCGCCCTCAGCAGCCGAGTGCCCTGCAAGCACAGCCCCAGGCTGCACTGCTTTGGGGAGTGGCGCACCGTGCTCTGGGGCGTCCTGGACTTGGGCGTCACTTTGGGCTCCGGCATGTTGCCCCCAACGTAAATGCCACCCGATGCGCCCCCCCCCCCAGCTACACGACTGGGTGACACCAAATCATAAACCCATATCCCCATATCCTAAACACATCATATTTCCTCCCTCCTTACCACTCAGGACAGTCCATCCCAGTTTTTCTACCTGCTGTTTCCAATCCTTTCCAATTCATGCCACTAGCAGGAGTGCTGCTTTTACAAGGAATTAGTTCTTTATAACAAAGGTCAAATTACCCTTCTTTAAAAATGGTTAACGATTCCATACTTCCAGATTTTGTATTTGTGATGCCTCATCGACGTTTTATGCAATATTAAGGCCCTATCTGGAAACACCATAACACTCCCCATGATGCTAGACCCCTACATTTACTACAGACAAACCAAAAATTTACATGACTGAAGAAATATTTGAAAGGCGAAAGGCATGGAAATAGAACGTAAATAATCTGTGTTAAGGACAAGAATGAAACAGTTGGGATGTGTTGGGGAAGCTAAGCACTATAAGAAGCGAGGAAATAGAAAGGATTCCAGACTGCTTTTTCAAACGGTTGTTGTGGAAAATCTTAAAAATCAATATCTTAACACCATCCCTTCTGAGTTCTCAACAGTATCTAACCCTCAGACAGAATAGAGGGGTTGCTTTTTGAGGTGACTTCGCTTTGCTCCTTCAAGAGCCTGTCTTGTCAAGCCACTGTTCATATTTTCAGCAGGCTTTTTGACTGGATGCAGGCCCTCATCTCTTAGGCCTCCTCAGCTGAGGAAATTGCACAGGTTCTGTAAATGGATGTTAGTTCAGGCCTGTGAGACAAAATATGGGAAACGGCTGGGGTAGGCATCCAAATCACTGGGATTTTTAATTTGGAGGAGGCATATTTTCTAAAGAGCCCCCCCCCCCCCAATGCCTAACCAAGTGCCTCAGTTCCTGGCTGCTTTTTTCCTTTCTATGAGGCAGCTCTTCTATAATTATGATTTCTGTTGTTAATCTGTTTTGCCATTATTGTTTTCTAAACCCAGTGAGAAGCCTATTTTTGGACTAAGAAGGCAGCGTACAACTTTGATCTGACAACAGAATTGTGGTGTGTGTTTGTAAATAATAGTCAAAAATTGAAACACCCCCACCCCCCATGAGGCAATGCAGTTGCACTTGTGAAATAATTGTTCAAACAAACAGTTGCACTGAAGACCTGCTGTACGTATTTGGGCACGCTGCCGTTGTGCTCTTTTCTTCAAACTGAATTTGGGCCTTGATCCTACAATTTGAACATCACAAAGGGTATTCACAGAGTTTGGTAGTACCTTACACAGAATTTCTGCCATGACAGACTTTTGAACAAAATAGGGTGGGAAGAGGAGAGAGAAGTGACTTTCTGGGGGGGGGGGTGGCTTACATGGACAACAATAACTTTTATTACCTCCTTGTTTGTACTTGAAGTCTCTCAAAATTATAACAAGTTGGCTAAACAAAAATGACGTGACCCTTAACAAGAAAAACATTTGAGAAGGTTTTAAGAGAATTTTAAAGATTGCTGTGGTTACGTAAATTGTTTGTGTTAGAGAACACCAAAATAAAGTTCTGTAATAGTAGCTTGTTGACTTAATACACATTTCAAAATGATACTTTCATTTCATTTTCTTATAGAAAATAGCATCAAAAGGAGAGTACGGCAAGTGAGCACTGAGGCATAATTTAATGCAAATCAATCAAGTATAGTTTTCTGTTTTATTCATGCTGTCAAAATATTATACATAAATTTTGTCATGTGCCAGGTGACCTACAGTTAGTTATTAGCTTGCTCATTCTTAGATTAAAAATAGGTGGATTTGACATCTAATGTACAGTAGAACCTAATAGTTCTCTTTCACTAGATGTTTTCCTTTTACTTCTTAACAGCACAGTCCATTATTTCCAAAATTCTCCCATTCAAAATCCTCTTTAATTTTCAATCCATGTATCTCCGAATTTGAACATTTTAAAACAGGAATTTCAAGGCTGATCATATGGCTTAAGGTATTTCCCCACAGCTGTCTTCATAGCAAACATCCCATTATGTCATAGAAAGGCAGAACATATTTCCTTGAGAACATTGACAAATTAATCTTAGTTGCTGTCCCCTTAAAACAGGCATACTCAAACAAATGTATCCAGCCACTGAATTTTAAAAGTTCACCACTATATGGATAAATCTGCTTTTTCCTGATATTATTCCATCCTGTTCTCATCAATATTTTCCAGTGTTCCAAACTTCAGTTTTAGCTCCACAAACTTCCAGCTTTCCTCAGTTCTGTAATCATTTTATTTCTTTAATCCAAAGGGGATAGGTATCGAAACCTTACAGGCAAATTACAACGTATGTCTCTAACTTTGGGATTGTTGAAATATATGCAAAAAAATTAGTCAGTTTGAGTTGTGCAACTCAAACTGGGTCTACTAGTCTCAAATTTTTTAAGTAATGTGGACTAAAGCCACTTCTGTGGCCCCTCCAGTATTAGGATGGACAGGCTTCATCGGACCATTGCCTAAATCTTATGATCGTGTTGATTTTGCTAGGTTCCCCCATTTTGTGGTTTCCTCTCAAGTGACTGTAGCCTAGAAGATGGCGACAGGCAGCAGTTACAGCCATGGGTGGGTCAGTTGTTTGTTTGTTTTTTAAAAAATATTTCTTATTGAGTTTTCTAACAACATGTCTTTAACCATTTTTCATATTTCCACCCTCCTCCCCTCGACTTCCCCCACACTCCCGTTTTGTTTTATTTCCATATTGTTCACCCTGCGTATTGTTTCCCCAAAATTGGGTGGGTCAGTTGTGATCCAGCTTCATGCTCTGAAGTAGAGCAACCACTGCCAGGCCAAATTCCCGAAACAGAACAGTCACGGGATGCTGCTTCCTGCCTTAACGCTGCAGAATGGATGCTGAAACGTTATGGCACATTCATACCTGGAACATCAGGCAGTTCCTCAGGCTCTTGGAAGGTAAGCTTAATTTAGCTGAGCCTATATGGAGGACCCTGTATGTCAATAAAATATGCCATCCATGCATGGTAGTCTCCATGTATTTCATTCTCCAAAAGGACACAGAGACTGTGTGATTGGAACTCCATGGGCTTTTGCCACTGCTCGGCCGAGAGAGGGGCACTGGGCAGGTACCAGACTTTTGTAACAATATACTGTCTGCCCCTGAGCATTGACCTTGAGTCTCAGAGACTTAACATAAGTAAACAATAGCTGCAGTATGTGTTTTTGAGAAATCTAGAAAGTTCAAGAAAATTCTGCACCTATAAAACTTCAACCTTGTCAATGGATTCTTAGGTGAGTAGTGAGAGTGTCACTGGCTGAAGGCCTTTCCATGCATTGATTTGGGTTTTGGTCTGTATGCTTTGATGGGAAGCGAGATCATCGTTGTGACTGAAATCGATGTTGTACCCTACTGGGCTACTGCCGGTGTCTATAATCTACTTTTATTGTAGGCAGGGCTTTTTTCATGGGGAACTCATAGGAACTCAGTTCCAGCACCTCTCAGGTGAGCGCCATTGCCATTGTAAGAGAAAGAGGGAGGTGTTCATGGTGAGTTCCGGCAACTCTTTTTCTAGAAAAATAGCATTGGTTGAAGGTCCTAGATGTGCTACTGCTTAGGGCTTGATAGGTTTACCATCAAATGCTATTTGTGACCTAACCCAGAGACATATGATTGGCCACAGAAATTGGGATGCAGAAAGTGGACCTTGGTCCTGATACAGCAAGCTTTATGTTCTTAAATTAGATTTAAACTTGTTTTTAGTTTCAGAGTTTTGATCCTTACACCATTCAGTGAAGTCTCTAGCATTGAAGTGCAGGCTTCCAGCATGATTTTGGACCAGACTTTCATCTCTAAGTACCTCTCATGATTTACGAAAGGCTGTCAGACCTAAATAAGAGAAGCTTTCCATTTATTTATTTATTTATTTATTCATTCATTCATTCATTACTTGCTTCTACACACAAAAGGAATAAAACTACTATGGTTTTTTACAATAGGCACCAATAGATTTAAGTAATTTGTATATGTTGTAAAAATAGCTGCTTTGAAGCAAAAGATAAATTCCTCATACACATTGTCTTTTTCATTGTCGTTATAAATAAGGTTTTGGAATCAAACAAGGAATCCGGCTTCCTTGTTCTTACCATAGTTATTTCCGGCCATTTCTTCATTTCCAGAGGAAAGGAAGTAATGGTGAGTATTCATTTTCATAAGTAATTGTGTCCCTTTAGTTTCATAGTGTCCATTGTAGGAATGTTATATTGGTTTTACTAAGCACTGCTTAAATGGTTTGCAAGTGTAAGAACTTTGCTAGATGCTTTCAAATTTGCACAAAATGCAAAGAAAGTCATATGGTCCGGTTAAAAGTTCACAGTTGGGCAATAATTTATTAGGACAAACCCAGTATCACAAAACAGTGAGAAAGCTTTCAAGCACTCAGAAAGGGTGCCCAGCAGATTAGGGGGTGCAGGAGAAAAAACAAAGTTGGCTGAGCATTGTTGGCTGCCCACTCTCCACCTTAGAGCAGATTTATGCCACAAGGTGCCATAGGAAGGCACTGGACATAGTAAAAGATCCATCGCATCCCGGTCACTGTCTCTTCGAGCTCTTGCCATCGGGACGGAGATACAGGACGATGAAGACTAGAACGAGCCGTCTTAAGAACAGCTTCTTCTCCAGAGCGATCTCGGCCCTGAATGGGAAGCCCGGACTTTGAAAGTCATCTAATCTCCCTTGCTGTATTATACTGTATTGATTAATTAGTGTTTTTATGGAGCAGTCAAGTAATTTCGTTGTCCCCGAAGGGGGCAATGACAATAAAGATATTATTATTATTATTATTATTATTATTATTATTATTATTATATTTTAGCCATAGAGTTTGTAATTTAGATCCAGCTGTAAAATAGAATTTACAGAAAGTCTCCCCAATGCCATGGTCCTGATCTGGATGGACTAAATGTTAGCTGGAATACAAAATAAAACAGAATAATGCCCTAGCCACCCACCCCAGGATGCTGTAACCATTTAAGGGCTCTGACTGCTCTGAATACACTTTGATCTCCAGACCCATGCTAATGATAGTGATTGCTGTGCTTGTCAGTAGTATTATTGTACCATCAGTGTGCACTGTGCATTATCAAGTATAAGATAACAGGTCCCTGCCCTAAAGAGCTTACCATCCAAAATGTAATATAAAGGTGAGAATAAACTGGGGAGGAATATGAAATTATTTAAGTCAAACATAACTTGCAGCCTACTTTCCCCACATGGTGCAGGAAACTCCTTGTTTGAAATATTTCCCTTTCCCTTTAAAAATGAATCCTTCATTGATGGCTTTGAACTCAGTAGTTTGCCAATGAAATAAAAATATTTAACATTTAGATGTCTTCTACGTGTGCAAAGTGGCTCACAGGCTCACCTTGCAAGCTCCTGTTTTCTCCACTGAGAAAGACAACAACACCACTGTGATTGAACAATAATTCCAAAATGGAACAATGGAGTTTGTTTCTGCTATTTGGGTTTTTTTCTTTCTTTTGAGGAGGGTGTTTTCTGCTAACTCCCCTCTAATACACTTTTTAAAAAATCCAACGTCCCTGCAGAATATTCCTAATCATTACTGTATATATGCTAATACACCTGTCAAACTGTTAATTGTTTATGAGCAACTTCAAGGCCCCTGCTCTTCCTTCTTATGGTTCTTTATCTTTAGGCTGGACTTGGATCAGATAGCCCTTGAAATAGACTGTAAGACGTATTCCTGCTTCAGAGCTTTTCTGTAGATAAATTGAGCCATGTTTCTTCCCCCCCAGGAAGGTTTTTCATTAATTGATGCTTCTCAATGGCTGAAGATAGTTAGAAATGCAGATTGCATTTTGTTTGGTTCAAAAACAAAGGTATGCTGTTTCAGGCTTCAAAATTCTTTTCTTGGCATGTTTTTATATATATCTCTCTTTGGTGTTCTCTGACACAGTTGTCTAGATTACTTTCCCCTCGTTATTCTATACTTTAATTATTTTCACTTAATAAACCTTGAATAGTTCCAGGTATGTGTGTGCTTCTTACACATCTATTTTGTTGGCATTTTAAGATTATGGGCACACAAAATCCAATTTAAAGAAAACCCTTCTGTTTTGGGCTGTATGTTGCCTGGTAGCCCCCTGCTTCCTTACCATCCACAGTACCACAGAAAATTTGACAGCTTGCACAGATCTGGAACTACTGCATTTCTTGCTGAAGAATGCTATCAGATGCTATATGGAAAAAAAAAACCCTCCATAATTTCTGTGCTCTTTGGTTTTCTGCTGCCTGATTATAAATCTACCTTCCTGACAACTTTATGCCAAAGAAACATGGAAATAATAGGATTACATGCTTTGGAAAAGGTTTATAATAGTTCATCACAACTATTAGAAGTGGTTTTATTTTATTTTATTAAAAATACAATTTGGAGTTCCTATGTGCAATCTGGTACACTCAAGAAGAAATCATTTACTTAGATGTCGTATTTTGATGTACTTATTCAGGTGTCATATTTATTTATATATTCAAGTCCTCTTTTTTATATATCTGAAGACCTTGCTAAAGAATTGTGCCAGCTGTGAATACTGTTGCAACAATCACCATTCACAAAATACTTTGCTTCATAAAGTTGTGTGACTGGTAATTATATGTATGGCAAAAATGACCAGATGAAGCAGCCTACGGTGTTTTCAATAAAGGTCTTAATATAGTCACATTAAATACAACACTGATTTTTAAATAATAAATACCTGAAAAAGAAGCTCTGAGGTTGGAAAAAGCAAGTTACATTTAAGTTCTATTCAAATAAATGCGATAAGTTTTATCACTATCCCACCCATCAGAATGTGAGCCAAAAAGTCTCTCCACACCCGAGAGTCTGTTGTTTCTTATGAAATACTGTGTTTTGATGTGTTTTTCCTCAAACCAGCTTTGATCCAAATTGAAAAAAGGATGACCTAGCTGGGATTTAAGCAGATAATGCCTATGCAGCTGTAAGGTAGACAAGAAAAAGCAGCATTACCTGTTAATAAATAACACAGGCTCACATGAGATGCACAATTACAATACCTCGTTAAATTTGAATGGTTCGTGAAAGGCTCCTGGGGGAGTTGGGGATTGTAGGCTCAGGCACTGGGTGCATGCTGCCAGTACCCAACTACCACCGGAAGAGTGAAAGATGAATGGACACAGGACAAGGTCTTGGGTTTGAATAGGCCACAACTTCATTGTAACTAGGTTTTGGTAGCCCAACTGGTGATTGATTGTTTTTGCTGGGTCAACCTTGGATTAAGGGTCACCTTATGACATACATCAGATCAGAGCATTCCATCCAGAACTTCCACTCAGGAGGCGTGCCATGGCTAGTTAGCTCCCGTCTGGGTATCAGGACAGGCACTGCCTCCTGGACCCCTTTATTGGGGTACTAAATATTTTTAGTGGCAGGGATGGGATTCCCAACACTGCCCCCCCCCCCCCCGGATCCAACCCAATGCTTTGCCCACCACCGAATGCACTGGGAGCTCTCCTTTATGAATGATGCAGCCATACCCACTAGCCTGCCCGTCATTGGCCTGTTCAAACAGGCAGGCTCCCATCCACTTGTGCAGCCACAGGAAGATTTTGTCCCCCAACAACTGCACAGGATGGGAAGAGGGCGCCTAGCTGAGCCACAGTTGTGCCAGGCAACAAACCACTACTCCCAGGGGTCTTAAAGTAAGTGGCCATTGTGAGTTGTGTTGTCACTTGTGCACCAATTCAGTAAGATCTAAAAGAAAAGCTTTTCATAATAAAAATGAGCTATTGGTCAGAAAAAGCAAGTATTAGATGTGCAAGCTATTGCTAGCTACTCCTTAGTTTTCATTAGAAAATGATGGTAATATATCACAACTGTAGAGGTATGTATATACCTAGGTTGATGGTTTTAGCACTACATCTTTAAACACCTAGAACAGGCAGGCAGCATGAATTAAATTAAGGAGCTGGAAAGTTAGTTTCATTTTCTCTTTGTAGAGCAAACACCGTATGTTTCGTGTTCAGTTTATTGGAGACTCCAAAACACAGGCAGAGGAGAACTGCAATAACTGTGTGCAGAAGCTTGCTGATTATGTTCCCGTTCAAGTAATGGATGCAGCAAGACAGGAATTGCAACCAGTTCACAGCCTGCTGCTAGATAATGAGCGTCAGATGAAAGATGCTGAGCAAAATTCACCAATGGAGCACATTGTAAGGTGATGGGGTGTATGTAGGGGGTGGATTGACAGAAGGAACGGAAAAGTACTGCTGTCACTTTTGTGTATTGTTTACATTTCTTCTATAAAATAGGAATACAGGGTTAGCAAAATAGATTGCTGCCGCCCCCACCCCTGCCTCATGGGGTTGTCTCAGCGTGCCTAATGTAAGGGCTGGCCCTGCAGGAATAGCCAACTGTTGTCCCATGGGCTTCAGCCAGGAATGCATGTTTGCCTATTCTTTTGATTACCTTTTTATACTTTTATTGCCCTTAGTTATCAAATGTCATGGGATTCTGATCATTTTCAGGTCACATTGACACCAGCTGTTTGCTGTGAAATACAAACATGCTACTGGAGTGATGCTTTAGAAGGCTCTTCTGATTTTAGTAATTTTTAGAGCACACAAATTCTAAATATTTTGGATCACACAAACTGGAAAAAATGCTCATTCCATTTTTCTGTTATTTTCATTCTTTGGCAATATACATTTCATTGAATTTATCTTCAATACTTTTTAGACTGTAAATCAACCTCCAGCACAAGAAAGAGCATCTGTAGCAGAGCTAGCACAGGTAAATAGTTGAGCACAGGACATATAATGTCTCTGACAGAGCAGAATAATGAAACTGATGATAACAACACAGACATTCATCTAAGGACACATATAATAACAACATACCCCCTAATAAGTAAGGGGAAAATCAAAACACTGGCGGCAGCCAAAAGGGCAAGAATCACCCCTCCATCTCCAGAACCCCCTCCTGACTGCGAGCAAGATACCTGTCTGCCTCGCTTTGAGAACATGGTGCACTGAAAAGAGAAAGACAACATTAGACATGCTCACAGATTTTATTATGATTGGCTATGGATGGCCATTGCCCTGCCCTATCTTATGTTAAGTTAACCTGGTGCTCTCTGTAAATGGAGCAGTGTGTGGGGGGGGAGACAAAACTGCCAGCTCAGAGGAACCAGACACCCTAGTAAAAGGCAAAAAAGAGAGCTACATGTTCTTATTAATTCCCCTAGAGACAAAAGGGCTAGGCCAACTAAACCCCCTCAAAAAAACCCCAAGAAGAAGACAATATAAAAAATACAATTACAAACAAGCAAACAATATAATAAGACCATAATGCAGAGTTTCTCTGCTCTTGTTTTCTGCATTTTAAGCAGTTTATTATTTTTAATGGCATATTTAGAAGACAAAATCTTCAATCCTGTGCATGCTTATTTGGAAGTAAACACTGCGGAACACAGTGATACAGATATAGATAAAGATATAGATATATACCCATGACCCTGAGATTAAGAGTCTCAAGCTCCAACCACTGACCTATCTGATTTAATGTTCCTGCATATTAAGGCAGCCCAACATCTCTATAACTGCAGCAAGTGCCTTAATGTTCAAGTGATGCAAACCCTTTATGCACACTGTATATACATGTCTATAATCTATATAAGAATTAGCTGCAGCAGGCTATGTATTGCAGCCCTTAAGCACAAGAAGGGCCAAGGGGGAAGACCAACTAAGATGTTGTGTCACATTCAGGCGAAAGAGGAGGTGCCACAACTAATGCTCACCGGGAGGATGGTAAACGGCCATTCTGAGTAAATAGGGAAAGGATAATTCTGAAAGAGTACATAAGTTGTTCCAATGCCTTTGGATTTCATCAAGAGAAAGACTTAATTAGACAGAGCAAAATTGGTAGAAAGCATTGTTATTTTATTTGTAAGCAGTTGACCATATCTTCTTGCTTCTGCAGTATGTGTTGACATCAAACATAGAGCTTCCTCTTGCATATCAACACTCCCAGTGGAATGCTGAAGATCTAGGCAGTTTCATTCGATTGTGTCTCTTGGATCAGAGCTTCCCAGCATTTGTGCAAGAAGTGGAGAACCAGTTGAAAAAAATTACAGATGAGTAGGAAGCAAAGCAATAAATTAAAATGTATTACAATGAGATAAATTCAATATAGATAACTGAGAAAGAGTACCATAGCTAGTGGTTTTATTTTTAAAAAAGGTTATCCATTTATTACACTTCAGAAAGTACACACAGGTTTTAGAGGTATGCATAAAACAACATAACTTTAAATTGCCATGAAAAAAATTGCTTTTTGTTATTGTGGCTGAAAGGACATTAACCCAAAAGGGTCTTTTATAAGAATGTAAAATCTTAATGGAGAAATCCTGCCTCTACCACAGTGTCAGGGACCTGGTCCCTCAGCTTCACTTGTCTGAAGTAGCTGTGTCTTGTTTCTTTAGGTTCCTTGCTGCCGCCGGTTCCCTCGGAAGGCTTCAAAACCTCATTGTAAAGGGGTTTATTAGGCTTGGTCATGAGATGGACTGCACCACAAGAGGCAGGATAAAAACTGGGGTTATTAAGGGGATTATATCTACATAAGGGGCACCCACACCACAGTTAGGACCCATCACACCAAAAATTGAGCAAAGTCATATTTCAGTCAAACACCTTGTTTCAGAATGGGTGCTGTAGATGTAGATGAAGATCACCACCTCCCACACAGGAAACCTCATGTTGAGTTGAGTGACAATATCTTAAGGGGTATCAAAATTGGCACAGGTTGGGCCTGTCACACAAAATTTGGCAGTGTCCCTTCAGATGCGACAGTATCTTCAGAGGTAACCAAATCAATGCAATGTGGACCTGTCATGCCAAAAGTCGGGCAAAGTCTTGCCAAAGTATGTTTTTGTCCACCATCTTAATTTAAAATGGCACCCAGCAGCGCAATATTGACAAAAAAAAAACCCTGCCTCCATCTCATGCCAAGTTTGCAATTGGTGCAGTTTGGACCTATCATGCCATGTCGAAATTCGGGCAAAGTCACTCCAGGCCATATATTGAACTGCCATCTTGATTCAGAATGGCAGCTGGTATCCTAGCATTGGCGAAAACCACTGTGCCTACCTTGGGAACCCTCATGCCAAGTTTGGTAACAACAGTTCAAGAGGCCTCTGAAAAACACAGGGCAAACCATTTTCCAACATATATAGTAGACACGGCATGTAAACTGCTGCTTATCTTCCTGAGATTTTATGAACTGGTTCAACATCTCTCTATAGTAATAAGTTCAATTATTTTCAGGAGTATAATGGCTTCAAAATATATGACTTTGATGGAATTGTGCAACATGAAAGACACATCAAAATTTCTATTTCCCATGAAAGGAACTACATTAGGTGCTCCTGTGTGCATTGGTTCAGATAATAAGTGTGTCTGAAATGTATTGAATCAGTGGCTGAGAAACTTTTCATTAAGAGCACATTTCCAATTCACTGATCCCTTGAGAACAGCGTTAAAAGTGTTAGTAGCACAGCCCCACTCCCCTCAAAAAGGAATCCCATTTTCTTCTAATGGCCAGGTGAAAACTCAAGGCCTCATCCTCATTTGGTATAAACCAGGACAATATGACTTGAATGTCTAATTTTGAGACATCCCAGAAAAAATGACCTGAGTCAGTGGGAAAGGATGATGGAAACCAACAGGCTATTGTTTACAGAGATTGGAAAGTAAAGAAAGTACTATTGATTCTCAGCCACAAACTGGCAAATAATGGATAAATTAACAACACAAGGGCATTCTAAAAACCATGTGTTGCTTCTCCAACATTCTGGTAGTGTTTTATTTTCATTTTGATCTCTGCCCCTTACTCTGTTTTCTATACACCTTTTGAATAAACTGCTTAATTGGATTTCTGGGCTGTACTGGTTTCTGGGCACCCTCAAGGGGTGGTTGAACACACATGCATGTATGGTTGCTGTGAACCATTTGGCCTATGTTACTGGATTTAAATGTGCCTGAGACATCTGGAGGGGAGACAGGCTGAAGTAGCCAAGTAGGCAGTGGAAATATACTCAGAGTCGAGTGTGAATTTCATGCTCTTTAGCATTTCAGCTCATAGTAGCAATGAATGAAATTTTCCCCAAAACGTCTAGCTATATATATACATTATTTACACAATGAGCCCCGCGTGATTGGCTGATTCCGGGCTGCTCCTGTAGGCCAGTCAGGTTGCAGATTCACCTCCTCCAGAAGCCTGATTGGCTGCTCCTGCAGGCCAATCAGGTCACTGATTCACTTCTACCTGGAGCTGGATTGGGTGGCTCCTGCAGACCAATCAGACTGCTGCATTCTGGATCCTATTCTAGGATTCAGCTCAGTACATAACAGCAGCCATGCTCATAAGCAGTGGCGTAGCGTGGGTTGTCAGCACCCGGGGCAAGGCAAGTAATTTGCGCCACCTAACCCGTGGATTTTAGCACTCAAGTCTCTTCCACTAGATTAGTTAAAGAAACCCTTACCCCCTAAGCACATGTATTGTTTGTTATGAAAATACTGATGTAATTAAAGTAAAATGCATCTAAATACAAGTTTATTTTCAAACACTTTATTGAGTGCGAACATGCATTACACATTCTCCACATTTTCAGCAGGTCTATGAATACAAATCTACAAATGTAGTAACCTAGCATGGGCCATGCTATTATATGTCGTCTCACAACCATCGTAAACGACAAAAAAATATCAAGAACAAAAACTAAACATCAAAATGGAACCATACCCTGGAGATGATCCAAGACTGGGCTAGATGGAGCCAACTTCCTCAATCCTGTACCTCTAATTGTAATTCTTTAATAGAAGTGCAAGATATCAATCTGTATATACAGATTAATTTAAATTCGCCTGCTTTTAATTAGCGCAAATTTTTCAACAACGGAATTGAAATCTACATTAAAGTCTCAATGGACAGTATTGCTAGATTACTCAGTCTTTCTTGGCTCATTGTAGATCTCTGATATGTTTTAATTAGTTTAAGTTTTGAGAAACTTCTTTCACAACTCGCTGTAGAAACAGTGATAGTAAGAAAGATTCTTAATGTGACAACAAAGTTAGTTAAACTTTCTTGCAGCTTCCACTTATACACCCAGCGAAGCAAATCTAAAGCTGACCAGTTTGCAACCTGCTCATCAGGATTGACCTCCTTATACAAGATAATGTGGTGCCGAAGTCGAGTTATTTCGGTGAGCGTAGATGCAGCATTCAATTCTGTGTACTGAGCACACGTGTGCTGAATTTGTTTCTTAATAAAATCATCTTTTCCAGTATCCAGCAATGTTTGGATTTGCAAAAAAGCAAATCACTGGTGAAGCGTATTCATCTGCGTAGTACGTTTTTTTTAATTTCTGCCTGAAGCTGATCAATTGCTTCCAGTTGTTCTCTGCCTGTTTCCTGTATTAAGGTCAAGCCAGCATCGCAACTGTTCTCACCATCCATCTTCTTTGAAAAAAAAGAAAATCACTTTCTTGCGTTGCTGCAGTGTTAGCACCCCTTCATTGTATAACCATTTCTTTGCTCTTAACATAATGTTTATTCACCTTCATGCCTATTGCCTTACTCTTTCAGCAAAAAAATAAAAATAAATTAAAGGTTGCTAGACCCACTGGCTTACATCAACTTATGTTGAGCTGGAGCAGCTACATATGGATCGAAATCTGTCTTGTCACTGTTGAACCAACCAAACTTCAATCCATCTGGTCAGCTCAACATGCAGAATGACCAGCGTGCCCCCTTTCAATGCAGAGAGACCAACGTGCCTCCTTTCAATGCAGAGAGACTTACCTGCAGCGGCGGCTTCTACTCAGTTCCCCGCGTCTCCTCGAGTCCTCCCGCCTCCTGCTCGGCAGCTCAGCCAATTGCATGCATTCGCCTTTCGGCCAATGAGGAAGTGGATCCCACTTCCTGATTGGCTAGGAGGAGGATACGTGTGACAATAGCGAAATTTTTGCGAAATCTGTGACAGTGCTGAGAGAGAGTGAGTGAGCCAGGTAGGGGCAGAGAGCTGCGAGTGCGAGTGCCCCCCCCCCCGATGTTGTGCCCGGTGCGGCCGGCCCCCCCCTGCACCCCCCACGCTACGCCAGTGCTCATAAGTGACCCATAAGCAAGTGGTAGCAAATAGAAAAATAGTTGCCTGGTTGGTGTTCAGTTGAAGTGACACTGTCCTCTGCACATAGAACATCTGTCATGTGTCTTTCCCTTATCCTTGAGCAGCCACAGCTAGCTTCCACATAGGCAGATGAGGGAAAGCTTGCATTACACAGTACATAAGCTCTAGTGCAGAGCTTTCCAAACTTTTCATATTAGTGACACAGTTTATAGACATGCATCATTTCATGACATGGTAATTCAGTTTTACTAGCAAACCAGAAGTTAAACTAACCCTTTTCCTGCCCCGGGAGGAGTGCAGGGAGCATTTGTGCGACACACCTACACACTGTAACTAACACACTAAAGTGTCATGACCCACAGTTTAGAAAGCTTTGCTCTAGTTAGTGCCTCATATTAGAAACTTAGAACAGGGAGCAGCATTTTAAAATTTCTCAAATCTATTAACTCCAAAAAATGTTATTTCAAACCTCAATGAATTGAACGATTTCACCACAACACATGAAGTTTTAACTATTTACATCAGGATTAGTTTGTTTCCTTTATCCTGTCTACAAAAGATGCAAAGGATATACATGCAAAAGTTCTCAGTCACAACAATGCTGGAATATCTTCCTAAACTTAATTTGATATTTAGCAGACTTCTCAAATCATCAGGTCTTCCCTAGTTGTTAGTTGCCTTTCATTTTTCTCCATTTCTATAGACAGTTGGGACTCTGAGTTATCAAATACACTCTCCAGGCATTTGAGGAGTGATTTGCCACAGACAGGCTGCTGTATCTTGAAAGTCTCTCTCTGAAAAAGGAGATTGCGTTCTTTACATGAAACAGAAAATGTTTCAAATATAACTGTTGCAAAGACACCTCTAATAAACTTTCCTAGCTTTCCTAGAGAGAGTTGAATTCCAGACGTTGTTGGCAGAAGGATTTGCCAGGATGAGATAGTTTAAAAATACATCACAAGAGGGTCTTTAAGAGATCTGTGAAGGATATTTTAAATCCTGTGTGTAGACATTTTCATGCATGCACATTCATCATTTGATGACTGCAATGCATCATCAAGTAATGACCTGTAAGTTTAAGATAACCATCCCAGATCAAACATTACAATACAGACTTTCATATCACCTGACATTAACTCAAATGCAATACTTTCAAATGCATCCAGTTTGCACGGATAGCTGTGAATTACCAAGTGATGAGAGATCGCGTTTATGTATGTGAATGTGTGATTTATCCCAAAGCACTGGGGTTTGGGTTTGAAGGCTCCTTCCATTCCCATAATTCTGATGTGTGTCTGGTCTGGGACTGGTCTGCCTAATTTAAGAAGATTTAACTTATATGCAGTGTTACTTCGTACAATGCCATCTGCCCCACATTCTACTCATGTAAAAACACACTGATTCCCGGACTGTCTGCAGGGCAGATTTAGAAGGTGATTGGACCAGATCTGGCTCCCGGGCCTTAGTTTGCCCAATCACCTTCTAAATCCAGCCTGCGGACGGTCTGGGAATCAGTGTGTTTTTTACATGAGTAGAATGTGTCCTTTTATTTAAAATGCATCTCTGGGTTATTTGTGTGGCATAGGCATTCGTTCACCCCCCCCCCCCAATATATAGTCTGGCCCCCCACAAGGTCTGAGGGACAGTGGACTGGCCCCCTGCTGAAAAAGTTTGCTGCCCCTGGTCCACCTACCAGACCTTCAATATTAAGGTCAAGGTGCTTGCACTTGAAATCTGGATCAGCACCATTTTTGTGCAGGACTATCTGAGAAATACATTCATCAATCAGCTTAAAATACTGAGGCATAAAGCAGGAGAAAGGAAACGGAAAAGAGTGTTAGTGCTGATGTGCAAGAGTGCAGGTTTGCTTGAGTCATCCTGAGACCAAGCCTATAAAGCAGGGATCAACAACTTTTTTGCCAGCAGGCAGGAGTGTGCGCACACACACACCGCTCTTTATGTGCTGGCTTTCAGAGCCATGGGTGGGGAGGCGGCGTTTGCAGCTTCCTATTGGCTTCCTATTCCTAATAGGAAGCCGTGGCTGCTTGCTGGAAGTCAGTCCCCATGTGGAGCTAATCTGCCACCCACGCCGTGCCAGTTTACCAGTAAGGGATCCGTTATCCCTTAAGAAATAAAAGGCTCTGCAACTGCTGAAGCAAACTCAATTGGGGGACTGTAAACAAGGTGGTGTTAAAAATTCTTGCAAATCCTGGCCATTTGGGAAAACTGCTGGTCCTGTGCACATCTTCAGCATATTCAAGACAACCCACAGCTGCTCTCACTTTTTCCACACTTCAAACAAAGCACTGAGACATCAGATATCCCTAAAAACAGCAACACCTGGCAGCAGAAAAGAAAGATGTGCCCCACCTTGAGGATCTGCTGGAGTCCAGAACGCATGAGTTCACTGCGGATGCGAACTCTGAAGTCAAGTTCCTCTCATGGAATGATTAGGGCATTGATCAACTGTAGGTAGGCAACCTAAGAAATACTGAAGAGAGATTCCATGTCAGATCTAGCCAAGCATTCTCAGAAATAGCAGGCTAAGCCCTTGCAGTAAACCTGACAAAGAAGTTTGCCAATTAAGACTGTCTGCGGTGTGTGTGTGTGTGTGTGTGTTTACACACAAACAAACAAACACACTCACTCCTTAACTCATACCAAAGCTGTACAAAAAAGTTCAAGAAGCTGGTATAATAAGTAGCAAATTCAAGACATAAGTACCGGTGTCTATATGGACAAAATGAGGACTGAGAAATAATAAAGTGGTATCAGCAGAACCTTGAGGTCTGCAGAAGTACAGAAAAACCTTTTTTTCCTGCAGGCCCTACTTGTTACCTTTAATGGCACTGAGTGTCACTCTTCAGGCCATCCAAGATGGGTTTGAATCATTCCATTTCATCCATTTCTGCTAGTTGTGTCAATGCTGCCAGAACCTGCTCATGCCTATGTAAGAGTAAGGAAAACAAATCAGTAACAGATTATCTGACAGTGCAGTGCTAGCCATGTCTACTTGCTAGTCCCAATGAGTTCAATGAGATGCACTCCCAGGTGCCTTAAAGATGGCAGTCTGACTTTCATACGCTCGCAGCAGGAAACTATGTAAGAGTTTGATCAATTGTACATCTATTAAAATTTCTAAAAACTGTTAAGAACCAATGTTGCCTTGGATCCAGGGGACCAAAAACCCTCCTAAGCAATATGGAGTAAGATGTGGTGCTTCAAAGCGGGGATGACCCCAAACCTTACACAAGCTTTGTTCAGCTTGTGCTTCTCAGGCTTCAGGCCATTGTGCAGATTACATGCACATTAAAGCTTGCAATTTAGATGTAGCCTTCCAGTTTTTAATGTATTTTTAAAAGCATCCCAAGTGCTAGACTGCCCACCTATGAAATACAACTAAACCAAAAGATAAATCACCTGTAGTCACTTACATATCCACAGGCTGAGGCAGAATACAGCGGGCAAACAGTAGCGTGATAGCATCAATCATCATGGATGGGACTTGGGTCAACTGCTCTTGTCAAAAG